AACACAAGACCAAGTTGAGACAACGAGGTCAACCCACTTCTATCAATCGAAAGGAGACTACGACCATAACAGAGGCCACAACATGTTGGTCTTCATATATTCAAAAAATATAGTGTTTTCCACCCTACTTCAATTGAGGTGATGAAGAATTTGTACATGAATTTTCCCACTTTCATGTGAGTAGACCTCAGAATGTTAGTGAAGGTCATTTAGTCTGGCTTCTCAAAAGTGGTATTATCTGCAGTTTGGAAGCCACGGCGAGATGGTGGCGGAGGTCTAAGACGTCAGACACACCAACACAAAGCGTCCTGCTCGCCTGGCGGCTCTGCCCCTTCCGACAGTGTCGGCGGGACTCGGTCCAACGACTCGAGAGGTTGGCCGTCGTGTGGCCCATCGGGCGACATCGCCATGCCGGTCACGCGCCCGTTGACACGACGCCGTTGGCACCGTCGATCGTCACTCGCATGACGACGCGCGTCTGACCGGGGCACTCGACAACCGGACAAGCGGGCGGGCCTGTCATTTGTGATTTGCAGGCCAACCTCTCGCCCACCCTCCACCTCTTGACGGCGCGCCTCGACTCCACTCCCCTCAACGAGGCTCGACATGCTGCATTCCGCTCGGTTGCTCCGTCGCCCAGTTGCCCACTGACGACCAGACTGGGCACGGGCTCCCGTTGACAGGACGGAAGGAGTTCTCTGGACCCACGGAGCGTTTGATTGGCCAACCCGATGGTGTGTGGCTAACCGGCGGGACGATGAGGTCTTGGTCGCTTTCGCTCTCATTTTGTGAGTGTGCCTATGTGTATGTTTAAGCATGCGTATATGTGTGTATGTGTGTATTCATGTGTAATGTACGCATGCATGTGTAGGTGTGTGTATGTATGCGTTTGAATGTGCCTTAATATGTAAATGTGTGCATGCATGTGTATGTATATGTAGGTGCGTATATCTGTGTATACATATGTGTGTGTAGGTGTGCATGTATGTGTATGCATGCATGGGTGTGTTTGTGTATGCGTATGCATGTGCAGGTGTGTGTATGTATGCGTTTGAATGTGCCTAAATGTGTAAATGTGTGTATGTATGTGTATGTATATGTAGGTGCGTATATCTGTGTATGCATATGTGTGTGTGTAGGTGTGTACATGTATTGGTGTGAGTGTGATTCAGGTGTGTATATTCCGGAAAGTAGCGGGCGAGTGAGAAGAGGAGTTAATTGTGGGTAGAAGCGATACGGTGCAACCTGGGCTGACCGGACAGAGTGCAGAGGGATGGGGCGGGCTGACTGGATGACTGGGTGATTGGGTGATTGGGTGATTGGGTGACCAGGTCAGATCGTCCGGCTAGACGATTGGTATCGAATTTGCTGTCGAAATTGATTAGCATGTCAAGTGATAAAGCTAAGAACAAGCAGGTATGCCGAAGCGGCAGACGCGAATGCACGCGGGCGGAACCACCTTCGCCCCTTCCGTCGTCCGCCTGACACCTCGGCATCTTGTTTCTGCAATCGAGTCTTCCCACTCGCTCGACAAGTCAATACAACCGAGACGGACAGGCCGAATGCGTCGACCAATCGGGCCGATTGCCCGTCTCACTATTTGCCTCTTCTGCAAACACTCTCCCTCTCGGCGGACAGATCGAGTCTCCGTCTGCCTGCCTGTCCATCCGTTCATCTGTCCGTCTGCCCGTCTGTACGTTGTTTGTGTCTGCATTTATCTGCCAGCAGCATTTTTGCTTACTCAATGCGACTGGGTTGTTGATCATATCGTAGAAAAACCAAGATGCCTCCTATTCATTGAATATTTTTGTCATTATCATTGCCACTCCGGCACGAGGAGACACCATATTTTGTGTGTTAGTGTGCATCTGTATATAAATATATACATATATGGTTGTAGGCATGATATACTGTGACAAGAAATTCTTTACAACCCTGTTTTTTTTATATATTTGCAAGAATGATAGCTTGCTCTGATGATGTGTATGACGGACACACATTTTCACTGGGATAGAAGAAATTGTGAGTTTCGCAGAATCTCCTGAGATAAGATTGTTGTGAACACTTTCATTTAGCATCAAAATGTATGACGAATAGAGTCGTGGGTCGGTCTCGCCAGAAGACGACGACTGATTCGCGTTGTACTGCAAGCATTTGGCATTAAAACGACGTTCAGGTTGATACAATCCACGGCGCATCCTCCAACGTTTCGGGTGAAGACGAGCTGAGCTTTCGTCAGAGTTGGGACTCATTCCTGCAAGAGCCTCAAGTTAACACCAAATCAGGAAGATGGACTGGCTTTTTTCCCACATGACATAGATACTCATTGCATGAACTAATCAAACCATTATATGTCCATCCATATCTTCAATTTTATTCGCATGCAATGAAAGGCACAATTTTGTCCTATAACATGTCTAGGCATGACAATCAACGGGAGACTAATATCAGACTGCAAAATTACTTTTTTGCATTAAAGTATTGTTTCGAGACTATCAGTAAATCAGTAACATGAGATGTATATACCCAATTTCAGTTACGGTGATGAAGGACTGGTAGAAGAAGAATTTTCCCACAATCATATGAGTTGAGCTGACGTTTCCATTCCATTT